TACATCCCCCTCCCCCCCACCTCACCCCAGTAAGATATGTTCTCAAGAAGGAGACCATAAGAGGCTCCCCCAAAAGGAGGATCTCAAAGGGGAACCAACAAAAGGAAGAGAAATACATGCCTAGGTGGCTGATGTCACACTCGGGAACCATGCACATGCTGATGACACACTTGGGCAGGGTGCATGTGCTGATGTCACACTCGGGCATGGTGTTAGTGGACACGGGGAAATCACAGTTCCTGCAGCTCACCCTGCAGGGAGACTGGGTGTTTTCACTGCAGATTTTCTGCTGTGACAGCTTCTACAGACAGAGTCCAGCTAGTAAAGGAGGTGGTGCCAGCTCCCTGGGGACACTCTCCCTTACACCCTCCCATACCATCAACCTAGACACATCCTTCAGTTCTCAAGCTGAGCCCACAGAGAGAGCCTGCCCTCCTCTCTCCTGTCCTAGCTTCCTTACCCTTCCAAGTGTGCAAATGCATTTGTGGTTGTTTGCCGAAGTTCTGGCCTGCGGGCTGTGGGCTCCTGGGGGGCAGGGGCAGGGCATGCCTGTCTTGTTCACGGCCGCCCAGGGCAGACTAGCTGAGGGCTTCCTGGCAAGTCAGGGAGCTCCGGTGCTGAGGAGACCTCTCTGGTTTCCTACAGGAACTGGACGAAGCAGGGGAAGCTGAGGCGCCAGGAGCCAGCACTTCCCACCGGCCTCCCTCCTGGATGGCTCCTCCACACCAGCCATCCCTTCTGTGCTGACCATCTCAAATGAGAGGCTCCTAAACAGCCAATAATACCCCAAACTGCATATGTGACACTCAAAAAATACTGCCTTGACTGGGAAAGAGCTGTGGGTAGTCAGAACCAAATCCAGACCCAGACCCAATCCCAAGCCATGGCTCCTGTTCTTGGCTCTACTCGTCCTAAATCCTTAAGAGACCCTCTGCCTCTATTTCAAGTTGGTTTTTCTTTGACAGATCCTATTTAAAATGTGTGTTCCCTTCTTATAAGTAAAGAAAATCTGGAGGGACCATTTTTTTCATGCTTAATACAGATCCAAACAGCTGCTTTGTTCCCAAATCACATGGCACATTTACTATCCCAAATATCAAAACTGGCATTCATCAGTAAATTCATACAGAGCGAAAGCCTAATGAACACGATTACTGTCTCCCCTAAAATTAAGTGAAGATACCAGGAACCACGCATCTGCCCCGGGGATGTGCTGGTGCCATGCAGGGGAGTTCACCCTCAGCATCTTTACTCAGCTACAGCGTGTAGCTGAGCACTGTGCCTGCAGGACCAATTTTCAAGGAGAGAAAGCAATACAAAGACATTATGCTAAGACTCAACTACATTTAATAGTTCTTTCATGACCCTTAAGTCCTCTCAGATGGCTACACTATAAGATGAGGCCACTAATATTCATTATCACATTAACATATGATCCCAATATATGGAAGCATCAATATCCTATCTAATAAAGAGAGAATATGCTAATTGACTCTCACACCATCACAAATATGGCTGTGCCCACAGCCAATAAGGAAGGGATATGCTAATTGACTGCCCCACCCTCAAATATGGCTGCACCCACAGCCACAAGATGGTGTTGCCCAGTCCCTTCAGCTCCGCCAGTGTGGTAGGCACACTGCATCGCCAGGCCTGTTCCCAGGAGGGCCCGGCTGCTCTGCATGCCTGCATCCAGAGTCTCCCACTCCCCTTAGCCCCCCAGCCACCCAGAGCTATCCCAAGGTGCAGGCAAGCCTCAGATGGCAGCTGCCCAGCCACTCAGCTGCCCAGAGCTGTCCGAGGCTTGTACTGCCAGCAGTGGCAGCAGCAGAGTTGTGATGGGGCATCACCTTCTCTTTATGGCTGGGTTGCCTCCGTACCTGAGGGCTACCGGACTATGAGAGGGGGCAGGTCAGGCTGAGGGACCCTTCCTCCAGTGCATGAATTTTCATGCACTGGGCCTCTAGTAGTAATATATTAGCCAATAGGAACATTGCTTTAGAAATATTGTGCCAAAGGGAAAAATACATCTATGACCACGCCTATTATTTAACCTTTGCAATTCTCTTTCTTGTTCTTCATCTTCCTCAACATAGATTCCTGCTGAAACCACAGTCAGTGGGGGTGTCTGGGGAGCGGAAAGGCCAGGGTGGGTGGCAGAGCGCCAGGGCAGTGAGGGAATGCACTAGCTGAGGCGGGCAGGTAGGCAGGGGATGGAGCATGCCAGGCCTTGTAAGCCTAAACCACACGTTTGCATTTATTCCTGTACAAAGGGAACTGCCTGGAGAGACTCAGGAAGTGAGTGGATGCAGTAATTCACATTTTGTAAAGGTCACTCTGCCCAACCGATGGATGATGCCCTGTGCCCTGACTGGATCACAAGCCCCTCTAAGATGGGGAGAGTGCACTCCCTTACTGTCCTCACCTCACTCTCACAGGGGTTTCACACCACCAGTTCTCTAGCTGTTGTGTGCAGCACAATCCCCTTTGGGAAGCTCTTCCAAACCCAGCTTGCTGGACGCCCCACCTGCAGAGCTTCTGATTCAGAAGGTCTGGGTGGGGCCTCAGAATCTGCATTTCTAATGAGGTCCCAAGTGATGGTCCAGGCAGGGCACTTATCCAGAGACACAGAACCATGGACAGACTGATGAATTTCAGAGGGAAGGTGGGAGTGGGGAGAGGCAGGCGGGGAAGCAGGAGAGGGAGATATTAACCAGGGAACTTGTATGCCTATATGCATAGTGCATAGACACAGACAGGCCTGGGAGAGGTGGGTGCTGGGAGAAGGGGCGGGGTCAACGGGAAAGAAAAAAAATAAAGGGGATAGCAGTAATACTTTCAACAATAAAGATAAATTTTAAAAGAAACAAAGAAAACTCCATAAGTTAAAAACAACAACAACAACACACAAATCTGTTCCCTGAGTAAGTAAATCAGTCAATGAAGGGACATTGAAGTATTTTCACCAACAAAACAATAGAAATGATCAGTGGTTTGAGTTCGACCTATGATGGCAATCATTGACTCTAATTTCCCTTCTTTTCTTAAATGAGTCCTTCACCAGGTGACAAGGGACAACACTGCACGCAGAGATACTGCCAGGGGAAATAGGTGGTGATTACACAGGATGCGACGCTTCAGACACTGCATCGCCAACTTAATTATAAATCAGATGTCACACAAAGATGCTTTTGTTTGGATGATAATTTCTGTAGGCAGTGATCGCCTGCCTCAGTCCAGAAAGGAGGTGAGATGGGAGGCATCCCTGGTGCTGTTCCAAACCAAAACGAAACGCGCTTTGCCTGGAATTCCTGGCCAAACCCACCATGGCCCATCCTGCCAGGTCAAAGTGCACAGCACTGGTGAGCACACCCACTCTAAGAGGTGTCCTGTAGCATTGCGACAACTGTGGATGGTGCAGGTGGGTTCTGAGCGTATTGGGGGAGCACTCTGTAGAGACTATGATTGTCTGACCACTCTTCTGTACACCTGAGACCAATGCAAAATAATACTGAAAGCAAACTGTAATGGAAAAATAAACTTAAATAAATAAATAAAATACACTGGGGTGGGGGGTGGAGGGGAACAAGAGGTTTTTCAAGCTCTCCTTGAAGGAACCCTCAAATGTTCCAGTGTAGATGTGTATTATGCCAAAGCAGAGATGTTACTGATGGATATAAAGTAAACAGAGACTCAGAACCAGCAGAGGAAGAAACTGCTTCAGACTGAGGAGAGACCATGATGCAAGAAGCAGGCGGACTCTGAGAGCTCCCCCTGCCCAGCACAGTGTGGCTGTGGTTGCCACATGCAAATGCCCACCCACCCAGAAATGACGATTGCAGCCCCACCGACAATGGGCAGTTCAAACGTAGGGATGGCTGGGGGTTGGGGGCTCCTTAGAAAGCCCTCTTGTGTGAGGCCTGCATGGTCATCCTATCTTATCTAATAAATAGGGAATATGCTAATTGGCCCTCTCACCATTGCAAAGATGGCAGCACCCACAACCAATAGAAGGGAATATGCTAATTGACTGCCACACCCTCAAATATGGGACGCCCACAACCACAAGATGGCTCCTGGGGGTTGGCCCAGCTTTGCCACATGCCTGCCGCCCAGTCCCCTCAGCCCTGCCAGGGTGGCAGGCATGTAACAAGGCCGGGCCCATCCCCAGGAACGCCCTGCCACTCCATGCACCTGACTCTAGACTCCCCCAGTCCCCTCAGCCCCCCATGGCTGGCCCAAGGTGCAGACAAGCCTGGGATGGCAGCTGCCCAGTTGGCTAGGGTCACCCTAGGCTCAGGTAACCAGGGCCAGCCAAGGCTTGTGCTGCCAGCAGTGGCAGCAGCAGATAGGGGCATCATCTTTCCTTCATCACTGGGTTGCCTCCTGCCCCTGAGGGCTCCCAGACTGTGAGAGGAGGCAGGCTGGGCTGAGGGACTCCCCCCTCCAGTGCATGAACTTTCATGCACTGGGCCTCTAGTAGGTTCGTATTCTGCTTAGGATAAACGCTGGTTAGACATACCCCAGAATTGTGCAGGGCTGTAATTAAACACCAAGGCATGATCCTAAACAAAATCTCATCTATTCAGTAGTTATTCAGGATCTCATGGTCTAGGAAGTTGACCTGGGAGGGGAGCTTCAAAACATCAAAAGCCAGCGAACCAAAACAAGAAAGACCATTGAAAACCATAGATGTCCAAGAGCAAATAACAAATATAATAGTCACGAAGCAGGAACCAATGAATGAACCGTACTCTATGTCCACAAAGCAAGACACAAACAGCATAAGGCCCATGTGACAATTTACCTCATGTGGATGAGGAACCTGGATTCCTGTTCATGATTCCTGGTGGGAATCATGGAACAGTCTATGAATTAAATACAAAAATAGCAATCCCTACACTCCAGGAAAAACTGCAGTGCATGTGAGCCCCCGAATCCAAGGTCAGAGGCAGATTCTCTCAGAAAGCCCGTTCCCCACGACATGTGCAGTTACCCACCTCCAAAAGGGTACAAGTAAACACTGGACCTGCTCTGGCGTTACACTGCCATGGCTCCTCCCGCTGGCTCCCTCCTCTTCTTCTTTAAGACAGGTAAAGGTGGATCTCTTGAAGGAACTGGGGGCTCCCACTCTAGGCAAAGGTTGGACAGGTGATCAATGTACAGCATGAGATTGGACTGTGCCTCCGTGCCTCCAACAGAGCTGGATCATCTGGGGCAATGAAAATTATAAGCAACAAGAGAGTGGTATTAACAGCAAGAGTTGGGAAGCCCACACAGCATAAACCACGATGCTCTATGACACCCAGCGACCATGCCTCTCCTAATTCAGTCATTCCAAACATACTCATCAAGCACTGTGCCAGGCCCCGGGGATATAGGAGGGACAGATGTGTTATTGATATAAACACAAGCCCGGTCCTCATGGAGCTCATGGGCCATTTTGAACAAGGAAATAAGCAATGAAAGGACAAAGGAACTTAGAGGGAGTATAAAGCAAAGGCAGCTAACCCAGACTGGTGGTCAATGATCATGGAAGGCTTCCTGGAAGAAGTGACATGTAACACGGAACCCAGAGGGCCCATTTAGTTAGCCAGACAAGTCTGGGGTGTGTTCAAGAGTCTGAGACGGTGCAAGAATCTGAGATGAGAAAGCGTGGCTGGTGTGAGGGGCTGAAAACCCTTTGTTCTCAGCCATTCTCCAGCCTGTAATCCTCCACCCAACCAGAGCGCCAGGCCTGGGGTCTGCAGCTCATCACAGGCTGGTCCTCCAATCCTCATAATCCCATCTTGTTTCAACCTCTTCAGTTCGGATCTCAGGAAAGGAAAGAACTTAGAAAATAGTTCTAGAAGAAGATAGACAAACAACCACAATGCGGAGTTGAACACTATAGAATGGACTCCACCATCTGCTTTCTGCACATCATCATGGCGGGTGAATGACCTGCTATGCTCATTCCAGGCAGTCCGAACAAGGCCCTGGGCTGCACTTCAGCTTCTTCCCTTTGGCTCTCACTTTGCCCATCCCTTTCCTCCAAGTCCCCAGGAAATCGCAGAGGGAGCACTTGCCCACTCTCCCCCCTCTCGCAGGACACCTCTCCTGTGCTTGATGCCAAGAAGGTAACCCAGAAAGCTGATGAAGCCAATCTTGTCAGGGGCCTCCATGCAGGAGGACACAGGAAAATAAACAAAATACCCGTGAAACTCCCAGTGGCTTGAGTAGCTTGAGCTGCCTTTGCATGAAGGAGACCACAGAAGGGGATGGTTTAAGACACGGCCATCAGTACGCTGTCATTTTACCAAAATGCACAGTCCAAAGTAGCTTCCCTTTACATTTTCACATAATCATATTCAAGTCATGTGAACACGGAGAGAAACAAGACCCTCACTTCGAAAACGCAGAGCACACAGCTATTTTTCAGACAAAGAAAGGATGTCTTTTTTAACCGATGACAACACAAATTTGTTTAGGTTTTCCCTCCACTAAGCAAGTAAGCAATTAGTTTTTTTCCAATAAAAATATCCCCGTGCATGTGCAAACACCAGAGGCAATCATATAATTACCCTGCCCAATCAGATTCAATTGCTGACAGTTGAGTTCCCACTGCTCATTAACTTCAGATCACAATGGGGTCTTTACGGAAGCCCTTTCCCGTCTCTTTACAAAGGTCCCTGTGATGCTGTGAGCAGTCCCAGCACTACCTCATGTAGGATAATCATCCCAAAATGGCCAGGGCCAAGGCCAGCCTACTCTGACTTTCCTCTGAAAAAATAAAAAGAGAAACTCGAAGAAAGACTGGCTCAAACACCCTGGCTTCATTTGGGGATCCCACTTCTAAATATAATAGTAACCTTTCACCCCCACACTTTAAGTGCCGTAATTATATAATTAAAACCAATTATGTCATTTAACAGAGACTTTTTCAAGATCCACAGCAAGCCAATTACCTCACTCATTGACCTCAGAAGATTTCCCTCACTGACCTGCAACAATGAGGATTGGGATAAATTTAGACCCCGGCTTCCGAAGTGACAGCCATGGACCAGCTGGGTGGGTTGTAGCTGGTTTAGATTCTTCTGGATTCCATAAGCTGAACTGAATTCATTGGCATCTAAAACAACTACTTGTGTGCACTTGGTTTTCAGAACCATCCTAACAGCATTACTATTTCCATGATGCAAATTATAAAAAGCAGGCAGGGAGAGAGTTGTGGGGTTATCTCAAACTATGCAACCAGTTCACGGCAAAGCCAGGCATTAAGGACAAAGTCAGGGCAAGGATTTGAGTCTGCAGAATCCAAAGCCTCTTTATAGCAAGTAGTGTGTGTATGGGGGTGTCTGTGGGGTATGTGTTTATTGTCCTGGGCATCCATTCCTCCTATTTTGATGATCTCGCCCCAATTTTCTTTAAGGCAACACATCTGTCCCACTTCCAGCACAGATGGGTGACCAGAGGCTCAGGGGTCTCACCTCAGCTTCGGTCAGTCGGATCCTAGCATCCCCCTGGCCACAGCATTGGTCAGGGATGAACAAATGACCCAATCAACACCAATGAGAGACACTGCGACTTTGCTGAGAATCCTGGGAAAGAGTCACCCTCTTCCTCAGGGGGCTTGTATGCGAGAGGAGGTGAGATCGGCTGGTTGAGCAGCCACAGAGTGAGGAAGAATGGAGCCGAGAGACACAGAGAGAAACGGGTTCCAAGAAACTCCCTGAATCCCTTCGTGTGGACAGCAGCAAGCAGCATTTAGAACATGGGCAGCATACAGAGAGAGCACCACCACCTAGAGCTCCACTGCAGGGACGGAATTCATTGACCAGGCTCTGAGTCCTGCCCCCTGCTCACCACACAGTCACATTCCTCCTATTTCTGAGTTATTTAAAGAACATACCATTTTATGGGCAAGAGGAAGCATTTTAATCTGCAAAATGATTTTTATCGCAAACTAAACATCCTTGTAATTTTTTGGTCCTCTCTTTGGTCAAAGTTGTCTCTCCTTGGAGCTGAGACAGCTGTTGGTGCGGAGAAGGCCTGCCTCGACCTTGCACTTTGCCCTGCTCAGTGGTACTCTTCTCCTCTCCCATTCCTGGATCCATATGGGATGTAAGACACCAGAGTGTGTGTACTCATTAAAATGGAGCGCTTTCTTTCTTCATTCCCAGGCCTTGAGGAAAAAGAACAAGAATTCTCTAACGCAAGATTTGCAACCTTGGCTCTATTGAAGTTGTAACTGCCTTATAGGATGTGCAGTGGAGTCCTCTGGCCTCTACACACCAGAGGCCAGTAGCACCCCTCTCCCTGAGTTGGGACAACTAGAAGTGTCTCTCACATTGTCAAATGTCAAGGAGTCTGGCCCAGATCACCTCTGGTTGAGACCCACTGCTTTAATAGGACATTTGAGGTCTGTATTGGATTTGCTTCGCAGCATCTTTGAAAAATAAAAGTTCCGCCGAAACTGGTTTGGCTCAGTGGATAGAGAGTCGGCCTGTGGACTGAAAGGTCCCCTGCGGCCTGAAGGGTCCCAGGTTCGATTCCGGTCAAGGGCATGTACATTGGTTGCAGGCACATCCCCAGTGGGGGGTGTGCAGGAGGCAGCTGTTCGATGTTTCTCTCTCATCCATATTTCTAGCTCTCTATTCCTCTCCCTTCCTCTCTGTGAAAAAAATCAATAAAAAATATATATTTTTTAAAATTCCCTGTAGTGCTGTGGTGTCTTCTATTTAAAGTGCAAGGAGTGAGAGAACCACACCCTCACTAGAACTTTACAAGAGCATGTGGGGTACCCACGGAGGAGCACTGAAGGAACAGGAGCTTCCACTATGGCAGCACTGCTTTCCATGGGGTCTCTGAAGCCTAAAGACCAGGAAGTGGAAAAGGAGAAAGTTAGAAGAGAAGAACAGGCATTGATAGTGAGAGAGTTCCAAAGTGGACATTTTGAATTCTCATTTCCACAGGAAAGACAATGAAACCTTAAGACTGTCGCTGGGTTTCCAGGATTCAGTTTCACCCATGGGTGGAAGAGGCTGGAGTCAAACAGAAGTGACCTTCCAGTAAAGACCAAAAACTCACTCCACAGAGAAAAAGCCCAAAATGGTAAGGCCTCACTTATTTGGACAAATGTGGATAAAGACACTTAAAATAAGCAAAATTTAAGGATTTATAGATATTTCACAAAGGAAAGCCATTTACTTTCTTTGCAGGGCTCCTTCCTTTGAGAAGGGAAGATAAACTTCACTTAATTAGCATATGCATTGGCTAGCCTTCAGGAAGGCCTTTGAATTGGTTTGTCCTCATCAGTGAGCTAATTAGTTATATCTTCACCCAGGCAGCTCCCAGGAACTCCACAGGCTCTGCTTCAAGGCACAGACTTGTGCACCACCACACCCTGATGAAGTCTGTCTGAAGAATCAGGTGAGTTAATGTGTGAAGACTGGTCTTTGGTGGGGCTTCACTGGACAATGTTTGGGTTCTAGCAATTTCCCTCACCAGAAGTTCCAAAGCCCTGGGGTGGGAGATCTGACTTAGGGAAGTTAAGAAGATCAGAGTTAGGTTAGCACAGCTTCCTCAGTTCCCAGGCAGCTCCCTTCCAGCCAGTCGACACCCTGTTCTGGCTGCCCCGTCCTCTGGCCCTGCATTCTCCAACCACTCTCATTTCTCTCCTGCAACCAGTGAAATCTGGCTGCTAGGGTGTGACTATGTCTAAAATGGAGAAAGAGCAAGAACAAAGGAGTCTCTGAGGAGACTTGGCCCTCTTCCCATTGTTATTTCAGGCTTATTAATTTTTGTTTTGGTGAAGAGGTAATGTTTAAAACAAACAATAACAGAAAAATAGAAGTATCCATCTGGAGGCTCTGTAGAGGTCAACTGGGACTCTTACAAGCTGAATAATTAGCTGTTCTTTGTAGAATTTAGTAAGAAAACTGAAGGAGCTAGTCCTCAACTCTTGATACATAGAGAATGAGTTTCCCAGGGCATCTTCCTATGGCTAAACATCCCCAGGCCACTCTGCTGGTTACTCATTCTGTGATAAAAGAGAAGAGCAGCCCCCTGCCAGTCCAGCTAGCACTGAAGCCACAGGGTGGGGTCAGGGTGTTTTGATGGAAGTGCCTCCTGACTGAGCCCACCCCACTACCCACTTACTTTTTTATTCTGAGTTGCAGACTAATTTGAGGATATGATAAAATGCACTTTTTGAGGATATGATAAAAACCA